ACACTTGTCTTTATCTGGACACATTTTCCCCACAAATACAACATGCTAACGTTATTAGCACAAGCCTATGGCATTTTACATTGTATAAATTAGCCTAGCAGCTAGCAGAGATTTCCTCTGCTCATATTTCAGCCAGGATAAATCACACACAGTGTGTGGAGGCTTTATTGTCTTCACAATTTATTGTTTCTTATCTGTGAAATTAAAGTAAATCAAAGCTTTGTTTCCACTGAGGGAAAGATCAGAGTAGAAGCACAAACAGAAATCCTGATTACGGGTTCGTGGAGACAAAAAAAGCAGCACCATGATAAACGTGCTGACGCTGACAGCGCTGATCAACATGTGCCCTCCATATTTCAAACAAGGTTCATTATAAAGCTGCTGAACTGCCAGAGTGACAGACTAATGCTAATGCTAATGCTAATGCGTTTCTCCTGCACGTTGGTTCTGATCAGCTGACTCAGCATGTTTCTTTATGTTTTAACTCTTCACACGCTCGTCTGTCTCATCAACACATCCTGACTTTAACATGACAACAGATCAATGTTTAAACCGACAGATGAGGATGAGGAGGATGAAGGTCCTGACCTCTCTGGTGTTTTCTCTCAGCTGCTGCTCGGCCTTCATCACGCCGTTGATGGCCTCCTCCAGCTGATCCTGGGCCTGTTGGCACTGCTTCAGCTCGCCCACGGCTGCCGCCTCCACCGCCTCTGCTGACGGCATCCTGGACAGGAAACAGGAAACACACAGCGTCAAAATAAAAGCGGTCAGAGTGGATATGGACTGCAGCTCTATGAACTTCACTCAATCAGCTGATCAGCAGCTCCACATGAAATAATCCTCTTTAGTTTCCTCAGAGAAACATGATGTAACATCACAACACACGTTTGTGTTTGAGTCGTCAGTGACTGTAACACACTCACACCTCTCACGACCTTCACACTCACTGTGATCTACGTTTATAAACAACCCTGCATCATTAATAATAATCAATATTTTCAGCTGAGTCGTTCACTAACATCAAACAATCAATAATGATTCAATACTCATAATTAATAAATATCTATTGTCTTAACTGGTTTTTAAAGGTGTCCGTCAATGACTCAGTCAGGTCAGTTCAAGGTCAAACTACAGTTCTTATGTAGAGTTATGGCCAAATGTTTTGTGAGGTCACAGTGACCTCTGACCTTTGACCTCCAAATTGTAATTAGTTTAGAGGACGTTTGTGCCATATTAGAAGAAATTCCCTTACAGTGTATTTAAGATACTGCATTCACAAAATGAGATGGATGCAAGGTTCCAATTGGTGAATTCTTTGGTCCAGGTGGACATTTGTCTTGAGACAATTCTCTTAAGGTGTCCTTGAGATATCGCATTCATGAGAATGAGACGGATGCTTTGACCACCAAAATCAAATTGTTTCTTTCCTTCAGTCCAAGTGCACATTTTTGCTTGAGTTTTCTTGAAATATGCATTCACATAATGAGACAGACGCATGGTCACAGTGACCTCTGACCACCAAATTCTAATCAGTTGGTTGTTGAGTCCAAGTGGACGTTTGTGCCAAATTTGAGGAAACTCTCTCAAAGTGTTTCTGAGATATCGGGTTCATGAGAATGGGACGTACAGATGGACGGACAGACAATCCAAAAACATGATACCTGTTGCAGCTGTGGAGGCACAAAAAAGTGTCTGTCACAGAGTCCAACGTGACAAAAGAGTTCTATATCTGTTGGGTCGGGTTACGACCACACAGGTGAGTCCTGACCACACAGGTGAGTCCTGACCACACAGGTGAGTCCTGACCACACAGGTGAGTCCTGACTGAGGAGGATCTACTGAGCTTCTACTATGTTGCTTACACAGCTGCTGACTCAGCTGACTGCAGATCAGTGTCTGATTCAGTCGGCTGTGTTGTGGCGACGCCTCGGCTGAACGTTGTGGTGTTTGTGAACACCGCTGCATTGTGCTCTGTGATTGGTCAGAGGGCCACTGGCTCACCAGGATCCACTGGGATCAAACCAGTCACACCACCATGCTATTTTCAGACACCGCTGCACAACAGTCCTCACAAATACCTGATACACTGCAGCAAAGTACTTCAAGACACAGCAGAATACTTCAAGACTCAGCAGAGTACTTTGAGGTACTTCAAGACACAGCGGAGTACTTCAAGACTCAGCAGAGTACTTTGAGGTACTTCAAGACACAGCAGAGTACTTCAAGACTCAGCAGAGTACTTTGAGGTACTTCAAGACACAGCAGAGTATTTCAAGGTACTTCAACACTCAGCAGAGTACTTCAAGACTCAGCAGAGAACTTCGAGGTACTTCAAGACACAGCAGAGTACTTTGAGGTACTTCAAGACACAGCAGAGTACTTCAAGGTACTTCAACACTCAGCAGAGTACTTCAAGACTCAGCAGAGTACTTCAAGACTCATCAGAGTACTTCGAAGTACTTCAAGACTCAGCAGAGTACTTCAAGACTCATCAGAGTACTTCGAGGTACTTCAAGACTCAGCAGAGTACTTCAAGACTCATCAGAGTACTTCGAGGTACTTCAAGACTCAGCAGAGTACTTCAAGACTCATCAGAGTACTTCGAAGTACTTCAAGACTCAGCAGAGTACTTCAAGACTCATCAGAGTACTTCGAGGTACTTCAAGACTCAGCAGAGTACTTCAAGACTCAGCAGAGTACTTCGAGGTACTTCAAGACTCAGCAGAGTACTTCAAGACTCATCAGAGTACTTCAAGACTCAGTGAAGTTCCTCTTATTTTTTCTTATTCTTTTATTTTGAAAAGTATTCCAGCTAATCACACTTCGTGTTGCCATGGCGGCAGCTCTGATATAAAACTGATCAAACGTACTGAATCGTTTGTCATGTGTTTTTTTTTTCTTTTCCTGATGGCGGAGGTGGAGGCGTGGCCTCAGGGTGCGGTGCTGCTTCAGTATCAGCTGTAAGCAGTCAGTCAGCTGAGCAGCAGCTGATAAGAGCCAGGCTTCACTTCATCACTGAGCAACAACATCAGCGTGACCTTTGACCTCCAGGCTCTGCTGTGACCAAAACAAAGCTTCTACGTCTCAGATCATGTCAGACGACTTTGTCTGTTCAACAGCTTTCAGACTGTCCTGATACATGTTACATATCAGACATATCACACGTGTATGGTGTTCGTTATTTCAGCAGCTGTAAGTCTGACTCCTGCACACTGAACATACAACAAACATGTACAAATACTGAACACAACCATCAGCTCCATGTTGATACTGTTTTATGTCTGTTTTATTTTTATTGTTGCTCATCGCTGCTTTTTATTCATAATATTTATATAAGTACACAGTCTTTCATATATTCATACACACATTACTTCAAGATTTGGGGGAGTACTTAAATACACGAGGAGGACTTCAAGATTTGAGCGAGTAAACCAAGACACAGCGGATACTTTAAGATTTGGGGAAGTACTTCAGGACACATGGAAGTACTTTTAATGACAAAGTATTTCAAGACAGACATGGTGGAATACTTTTACTTAGTACCTTCAGACTATAGTAGTACATACTACCAGACATGGAAAAATACCACCACACATACCTGAAGATCTCCAGACATGTTGGAGTACTTCTAGACTACTGGTGGAGTACTTTAGGACTTAAAAGATTACTTCAGACAAGGTGGAGTACTTTACAAAAATGTTAAAGTACTTCCATTTACTGTCTGTCTCTGTGTGAGGACTTGAGACCGACGTGTTCAGACATGTTTAAAAACACACAGGTTCAGTGTTGGTTAATAAAACAGTTACTGTGGTACGGAGCTCAAACTCACACTGGTTTCTGTCCATCCGTCCAGTGCTGATTAAATGTGTCGTCTATAAAATTTCGTCTAACAGTAGGAATGTTTCCGTCTCTGAGTCAGACGTGAAAAAATGTTCAAACACTAAAGCGCAGTGCAGACGATGAAACAGAGAAACATTTGTGTTAATATTATATGTGTGAGGAAATCTGTCAATCTGTCAGTATAACAACTTGCACAATTACAAAAAAATTTGTAGATTCACAAAAGTACTTTTTTTTCAAAATATAAAACATATATTAAAATACACATATATGGCAATAGATTTGTGTCAATATTATTTGTGCATGGAAACCAACACTCTCTATGTTAACGTGTAATCTGAAAATATTAAACAATTTACGTGAACACAAAACAGATTTGCAAACTCACAAAAATATTTTGCAAATGTAAAACAGATCTGTAAATACACAAATTCCACTAATTAAAAAAAAGGCAAAACAAAGACTAACTGTGCATAAAATGCAAAGTCACAAATATCTGTTTAAAATTTGTAAATGTTAGATAAAGATATTCACAAATGCTTCTCATTTATTTGTAAGATAATTCAATCTTATTCACAGGTTGTTATTTTATTGGTGGAATCTGTTTGTGTATTTGTAGGTCTGTTTCAAGTTTGCAAAATATTTTTGTGAGTCTGTAAATCTATCTGTATAGAAGTTGTTTTATATTTTCAGATTACACATTAACACACGGATTGTTGATTTCCTCACACACACACTATTGACACAAATCTGTCTCCATACATGTGATCTGTAGATCTGTTTGCAAAATATTTTTGAGTTTACAGACAT